AGAAGAATGATTCAGAGAAGGGTGGTAATCTGCAGTCACAGGCTATACAGAAGTATGGATCGTTGGAGTTTCCTAGTTGAGTATATTCACGGACAGTTATTGTGGTGCATTTTCTATGTGTCCAGTGATCACAAAAATCGCACTGAATTGCTTGCTGATTTTTACGTACTGGTTTATGACATGCCAAACAGGGATTCTTAATAGGACCTGGATTAGTGGATATATCACCTCCAAGAAGAAGGAGTTTCAAAGCTAGATATTCAGGTCGGCATTGTTTTGAAATTGACAACTTCCGGTTTGCCTGATTAAAAAGAATTTCGGTGCTAAAACTTGGATCCTGAGTGTTATTGACTAGTACTGTGTTACCTTGTAATGATCTGCATATAAAAGAGTCCTTTGAGGTAAAAACTTTAGGAGAATTGTCTATAAAATTGATTAAAATCGCCAAAATTGTAAGCACTCGGTAACCACGTATTCCCGCCATTCATGACGTCAAGAGCTCAAGAGAGAGTACTTTAAGAAATGATGGTACATTTGTCTTAATTCTTAACTCAAATCAACAAAAAACATTGTTTTAATTCTTTTCATAAAGAAAGATACAGGCTCTGATCCTATTATGCATTGTTTCATGGATTTTTGATCTTGAAAATACTTTTCGTTATCTCCATATGCATATTTGGAACGTATAGATTTTAATTCGTGTATTAACATTTTATTTATGCAAGCATATTAAAAAAAATTGTCTTTTCAGGCGTTTGTACGCTGTAATCATGGGAGCAGAGCAAACACGGAGTTCCAAAACATCAGAGGTTGGATCAGGTGCCATAGAGGAGTAAGCATCCCCTGCCGACCGGTCACAAGTATGGAACGCCAAATTAACATATATTCAAATATTTGTACCTATTTTCAAATAATTGTACCTATCTTTAAATGAATTGAAGATAGGTGCAATTGGATTAAAGATAGGTATAATTGAATTAAAGATAGGTGCAAATGAATTGAAGATAGGTATAAATAATTATACCTATCTCTAAAGAATTATACCTAGGTACAAATGAATTATACCTATCTTTAATTGAATTACACCTATCTTCTAAAGATAGGTTCAATTGAATTATACCTATCTCTAATTCATTTGAAGATAGGTATAATTGATTTAAAGATAGGTACAATTGATTTGAAGATAGGTTCAATCTAGACATATTTACAAAGGATTTGGAGATAGGTACAATTCAATTATACCTAGGTTCAATTCGTTTTATGTTGTTGGTAAATAATGAACGCTCCCTTGGAGATAATTTTGAGTATGGAGGGAAACGCACAGAACCTACAGAGCGACGACAACAAGGATGAAAGGAGAAATAAATGTTAATTCAAAATGTGCAAAAAGCATCATATACTTATAAAAATACACATGCATATCATGTAGGTCTATCTTGTATTGCAGCCAGATGAAGATTCCAATAAACTTTCGCGCCAGCTGTGACGTATCGGAAATGACGTATGATAAAGGGAGTAGTTGTTATTGCCAATATCTTAGTAATTAAAGATAGGTTCAATTCAATTTTACCTATCTTTAAATCAGTTATACCTATCTTCAATTCATTGCATGTGTACCTATCTTCAAATCAACTTGTACCTATCTTCAAATGAATTAAAGATAGGTATAATTGAATTGTACCTAACTCTAATTCATTTGAAGATAGGTACAATTGATTTAAAGACAGGTACAATTCATTTGAAGATAGGTACAATTTAATTGAAGATAGGTACAAATAATTGAATATATGTTAATTTGGCGTTCCATACACAAGCGCCATGTGCACCATGTCATGATCAGGGAATATCGGAAAAGACGGTCGTCAATTCAGTGTATATATAAAGGGCTAAGAATTAGTATGAATGTCAGTCAGCATTTGACTCGATGATAAATTTTATTTGCTGACAAGGTAATTGTATCGACCATAGAACTTACGAAATGTTGCCTTTAAACGAGACCGCTGATATTCTTGTTTCATCAATTTGTCAATAATTTACCTCGTTTTTCAGTTGTTCATACTTAGAGCATGCTTTGCGTATCGTTTAAATATACTCCGTATGCAGGTGAAGAAGGTTTATTGCTGCATATGTAAGGGAAGTTGACGATATATTGTAAAGTCAAAGTTAGATTACCATCTTTTCAAGTAAAATATGCAAATATGAAACAGATGTGTCAGACCCTGTGGTATCTTTAATCTTTAGATCCAGCGGGATATATCGTATCGAAATAAGAATGGAAATAACCATTTTTAATTGACAATACGTCGTTGATATATCTAAATGTCGAGTTGAAGGCCACAGCAAGAGTTTTCGTCGATTTTAGACAAAAAAATTGAGCTTCATATAAATACAAACAGAAGTCTCTGTCGAGACTGTAGCTCTACTGGTTTGTACTTATAATAAAGGAAAAGTAACAATTTGACCTGAAACTCTGCAACAGCAATAAATAGAATAATGATCCTTGATTTGATACCTTTTTGTGGCAATATTAGACTGGAATTTTCTGTCTCTATTATACTAAGTGCGCATATCAGACAGACAAGCCAGTCTACAATAAGACTAGAACTGTATAGGAGATTAGTAGAAGCCTTTTAAAAGAATTTTACAGGTATTTCAAGTTTAGTAACCATGGCAACATCATTCATAGGAGGAATGTAGGAGGAATAACATTTTGAGAGTATTTCACAGAAATTTCTATTTTCGTAACCATGGTAACACCGTTCATCGAAATTAAGTACCGAATCACAGGATAATGTATCTCAGTGTTGTCTACTTGTGTGCTGAATTATCTTGAAATCAGACCAAAATTGTAGAAGGAGTAGCATTTTGAGAGTATTTCAGAGAAATTTCTATTTTTAATCTATGTTTTTAATTCTACATTAATCACAGCAACATCGTTCATCGAAATTAAAACCGAAACAAGGAATTATGTATCTTAGTGTAGTCTACTTGTGTGCCAAGTTATATTAAAATCAGACCAAAACTGTAGGAGGAGTAGCATTTTGAAAAAAAAATGTTTACAGACGGACAGACAGCTAGACGCATACGGACAACGGACAACTTACTATAAGCTCGTCTCGTCTCTGACCAGTAGAGCTAAAATTTGGTCTGTTTATATCGGGGCACAATTGGTACCCATGAGAATTTTTAAGATTGTTGGAAGACCTGGTCTCCAAAATCCAGATAATTCAGGATATCAAGTATCTTTTTTGATATGTCATCTTCAGAGTTCTAAACAAATAATTTTGCAAATGACCAGTGACAAGGTAAGTAATTTACAAGTTCCATTTTTATTGAAAAGCATGCAATGATTTTCCCGTCATTTCCCGATCATGACAATTTAGGAGCACACGGCGGGTGTTACCGGTCAGCAGAGGATGTTCTCTCTTCCATGACACCTGATCCCACCTCTGACGTTTTTGAGGTCCGTGTTTATTCCGCTCCTATTTTGTAATGTATGTTGGACTTTTGAGCTTTCAATCTAAACTTCGTTTACCGAAGCACTATCTTATTTTCTTCAATATGTCGAGAAACATTTCGTTGGATAACTCTCGCGGTCTACTATTTCCTTAACTCGCTTATTCCTCTTTCCTTTTGTTTTATTCTTCACATGAAGATTGTGGATAAGCTTTTTATCCTATTACCAGCTCTCTATAGAAAACAAGTCAAGATTCTTGGTGCATGTACGTATTTCTGACTGATGTTGATATAACTTGATCATAACAAAATCACGTACACACTGTCAAAATGTTCTAGTCAGCTAATGCGAGTACTAAGTGAACTAAGAATTGTCATAAAAATTAATTGAACTAATTATGTGGTCGGATCGAGGGAGTCAATTGTTTAAAAATCATACTTTACCGTTCTAAATTATTAGTAAAACTTTAACCCATAGGCCCTAATTATTCCATTGGATTAAATTGCAAAATATAAACTTTATGTGCTATTTAATCATCAAGGGATATCTAAATTATAAGATTTCGTTTGACTGAGCAAATTACTGCTTTATTTCCGATTTTTTTTTAAAGCTGATGTTTGTGCTTTTTGACAGATGTAGAGAATCAAGAAAGAGTGAATTCATCTTAGACATAGCAACGGCTTAGATAAACTCAACATAAATTTCATCCTGGGTACAATATAATCCCTGTTTATCAATTTTCCGTCCATCAGTACTGCCCAGTTTATCAGAACGTCCGTCTATCAGTACAGCCCAGTTCATCAGAACTTACGTCCATCAGTAGAACAGCAGCACTACAAAGTGCACACTACGACCCTGAGCCACATTCGGGGATTGAAATAGAACGTGAAGAGCGCGGAGAATGCTGGAGTCGATAAGAATAGAATTCTGTTATAAAAAACATCACTCAAGTTTCCAATTTAGAGTCAAACAAGGGTGAATCATATGAAGAAAAACATACCAAGTTTCTATTGTTTTTATCAGTTTCACGAACTGTTTTAACTGGGAATTTCTTAAAATCATAATGAATTTCATTTAGCGCAGTAATTCTAGTTTTGCACTCGCACACATATGTAGCATTTAGAACTGAGCTTTGAAAACATGCGTGTGAGATACTTTTTTCCACAAATTTTTAACAATATTTTTTCAATATATATTTTCTTTGGTAAAAGAATGATAAAAACACGTTGAAATTCTGAAAAACACGACTACAGCGTAGAATGCGAAAACTACGTATTATAATTGGTGCACATTTCTCATTCACAGATTTCTCAATAATATTTTTATCTTCCTCCACTCTTTGTTATCTGGTCGTTATCTGTTGGACGCACGTAGGAGATGTTTTATTCTATTACTGAAATCTGATAAAATTTGGGAGGAGAATAATTCTGGCAATAGCTTGGAGAGATTAAAAAAAGAGTGTTCAATGTGTATTCCTCTCGATATGACATAATAATTGCGTCACTTTCTCGGGATGACTAAGCGCCGGTGTAATTTATGAATGACTGGTCTTGTAAATACCTGACATTCTTCAGGCGGTGATGCGGCTCTCTACTGCCGCGCTAGTATTCCATTAGATCGCAGGAACCACTTTCTCGTAAGAGCGTGGAGCATCTTAGACGGATTCCATTTCAACGAGCTGCAAAATAATTGGATATAAACTGTTAGCTCGTTATTTCAATACACTTCTCTGGTAAGTTGAATTAATGTTTAGTTTGTAATGCTATAAAAAAAATGTTAGATTCTTAAATAATCATAACCTTTAAAAATTAGAATTATGTGTACGTATACTTACAATTATTTTTCATGCCATAGTAATAATAATCGGAATGTGAGTAAATGAAGTTTGTAGACGTTTCTGGTATCGATAAGTTTCCGTTATCTTCTCTTTTATCTAGAAGTTAAACAGACTCAGGCTCTGTACCTACTCCAGAATCAGAGCTCGGGCGAATATGGCCAAGTTTCGATCAGAGCTACAAGTTCCTGTGAAAAAGGACGAAATGACATTTCAAGACCGCCAGGTTAAAACTTGGGAGGATATGGAGGTTCGAATGGAAAAACGAAGGAAGGAATGGGACGATGAATTTGAAAAAATCCGAAAAGATTTCTTTACATTGAAACCAACAGATAATGGTATTGGAAACGGAAGCATTGGCAATCATATCGGATCAAACAGCAGCGTGGACACACTAAACTCCATGTTCGAAAATGATGGAACCGGGGAGAGATTTAAAGTGAGATTTGATGTTTCCGAATTCCGACCAGAGGAAATTCAGGTCAAAGTGCAAGACAATAAATTATTTGTTTCTGCTAAACACGAAGAGAAATCTACAAAAGCCTCGGTAAGTCGTGAATACAATAGACAAGTCGATATACCAAACAACGTCGATCAAGAAAAACTGCAGTGTGTTCTAAGTAGAGACGGAATTCTGACGGTAGATGGCCCCACTAAAGGACAAATTCAAATAGAAAGGGAGACAACTTTGCCAATACAACATCAGCCATCAAATACTCCCATAGTGACACCAGTATCCCCGACACCTAACGCTAATAACCAGATAGCGCCTTTCTCTAAACCACTAGAAATCGCCACCCCTGTCAAAAACCCTATCATAACGGAGCCCGATGGTACTCGTAAACTTCGGCTTAGTGTAGACATTGGAGAGTTCAAACCGGAAGAAATAGTCGTAAAAACAGCCGACCGGAAGTTAATTGTACACGCAGAACACGAGGAGAAATTGTCGGGTCGCACACTTCATAAGGAGTTTAACAAGGAATACGAATTACCGGAATCCGTGGATCAGTCTGCCATCACGGCTTACATCGGGGAAGAAGGGAAATTGTTTGTCGAGGCCCCGCTGAAACCACAACAACAGAAAAGATATTCCATCACACAGAGTCATGACGTCAGAAAAGTAGTCGTCACCAAGGAATCCCAAGTGACCATCACCGATAGCAACAATAGACCCATGGTAACGATCAATGTCCATCGGCGTTAAATAAACGCTTGATTCGTATAAATATAAGTGCTGTAGAGAGAATTCAATGTCTCAAATAGACTGAAACAAAAATGAATTCTGTTCTATTTTTATTACAACATTTATAAAGACAAAAGGAGACATTTATAAATACAAATCTTTCGTAGAAATATTTATTGAGTGACAAAAGGGAAATTGTTGGGGCCATTCTGTTCGGTTTCATCAGTTTCAGGAGGAATGTATTTTTAAAAAGTAATTTGGATAATGCATTTTCAGTGTTGAATCAATTTACGTAAATTTGTGTTCATCGCCTTTGCATCCACTTGTTGCGCAGATTCATCATTGCACAAATATGTTATCTTCATCGGCATGCCAACTGTCAGTAACCGGATATGACCCCTGACCCCATCATAGACTGGTCGTGTGTTCCCTTCAATTTATCTCAGACTCTGAGAGTTACATATTGTTTGTTTAATGTTATTGAAAACTTGAAGTATTCCTTAATAGCAAGCGTCAGTTAGAACTTGGAACCAATCCAAATTGAAATCTTTTTTGGGAAATGTGAAAGTTCTGTCATTGTGAAGACCAGTTACTGATGTATTGTTGAGTTTGTGAAGTCGCTCTTCCTAAGTTATCAACTGACAGATCTAGTGTGGTTATCTGTGTACGTGATTCAACCTTACAGCTCGGGAGAAAAAGAAATGTTGTACATTATCTGTTTTAAATGGTTTTCATTATTTATATTAATTTATAAGTAATCAATGAGATAATATAATTAATTTGTAAATATTTATACATGTATACCATGTATATAGGCTGTGAGAAGCTTCGTACAACAACAAGTATATATTCCATATTGTTCTTACAACTATATCTGGCCATTACTGTCAAAAAAACATCTATTTTATTGTGCGTCTCTAACTAGTATTTTCTCATTGCAAGGAAAATCGCCATTGAATGTTTAGCTAGCTAATTCGTGCAAACCATTTTTACTGTGATATGCTGTGTTTTATATTTGGGGAAAGTGCGAGTTAATTTATGAAAAATGTGAATTTATTTCTGAGAAGTGCGATTAATTTATATATTCATGTTCATGTGGCAAATGTTCGTATTTATGTTAAATGTAAGGGAAATGACGCCCCGGCTCATTCAGTGTGAACCTGTGATTTAAAATGGCCGTCAATTTTAAACGTTTCAATAACTCTTTGTTGTGTCTATGTTACTTTTGTAGATATTTTGTAAATGTGTACAGAAATAAATGTTACTGTCTTCTTTTTCTCTGTTTTGATTCAATGTTAATAATAAAGGATATGTAAATGAAAATCCAATGATGAAATATAAGAATATTAGTCATCCAAGACTCCATCCAGGTCCATATTTTTTTTCCTTTCGTCTGATCCGTTATTATCGGAAAGGTTTATCTGGCAACGTATACGAAAAAAAAAACAACTTAAAATTCCTATGAGCAGTTTCATCCCCCCCCCCCTCTCTCTCTCCTTGCTGATTACATAATAATTTAGCATCTTCTTCTCGATTTGTTTGGCGAACATAAGAGTATAATTTCAGTAACAGCTACTCAATCTGTTCCAAGATTTAATTTTTCACAGAAATATCTGTCAGACATAAACAACTAAGACGCGGAATGTATATTTTAGGAACATTAACACATGATCGAGAGTTTTTACAGCTGAGAGGAAAAAATAATGGCGAGCGACAGGTGTGAGAAATTAACCAAAGCTTCCGTAATTAACTCGTAATATAACAGGTTTAAAGAAAACCTATAGCAGACATGCTTGACTATCATAAACAAATACTAACTAGCTATAGTATTTGTTGGGTAAAACGAAGAAAAAATCCTCGAGATTCAAGGACAAATATTTCTCGAATAAATAGTTTTAGAGGTCACGACTCTACGACAGAAATATCAGATTTAACTTCTGTGATGTGAAATTACTGTATTTACCTTATTTTTATCTTATCTTCTCAATTTATTGGTGAATAAATATTTGTTTTATCTTTTTTACAACCAACTGCTATGATCCTCGGTGTCCATCAGAAGTTTACCCTGAGATGGGTTAGACCCTCATCATCGGCGTTCATCTGCAATTTAGCTCAAGCTTCGTTCATAAATTCGCTTGCGTTTCTTCTGGGTCAGCCATGTTGACCACTTTATTCGGAGTCCATCTGTCGTTTAGCCTGTGCAAGGCTTTTATCTAAACCACCATCTTTGTTTATTCAGCGGCTGTTGAGCTTCAGTCCCATGCACTCTCTTCCACTTGAGTAGATCAAAGTCTATCGCTTTTGATTCATTTGAGTGGAGTCTAATTTTAACATTTCTCAAATTACTTTAAACATATGGCAGTATTTTTATAGGATTTATGTCAAATTCCATTGGGCTTTGAATTTAAAATTTTCGGAATAATTTCCGAACAATTCAGTTGAGCATCATTTCACATTTAAAACTAAAATCCATAATCTATGAATTCAGTTATGTTTCACAACTTTAAAACAAAATAAAGATTTACATCTATGGCCGCTAGATTTAGCTCTGTATACATGTATAGTATTCAACCAATTTCATTGAAGAAGCTGAGGCACAAATCGGGGACAATTTATCTCCCCTCCCCATTTTTATTAAAATCATCGATATCTTTTTACCCTTTAGGCCCTAGAACTGATTATGATTTTTAACTTCCATAGAAAAAGGCGATCATGTCCCAGAACTCTTGCCTGTTTAAAATGGAACTGAGAGGTTCCGAATCCCTGTTACCGTGTTACTTCACCATGGGTCGTAAAGTAATAATATTTACTCGATGTTTGCCGGATATATTCTGGTGCTGAATACATTCCGCATGTTCATTCAAAACAATGGAAGCCACACGTCCATTGTTTCCTAAACTTCTCTAGTTACAGCTAACTATATACCAGTATCTCTTGACTCCACTGACCACTTCTAATCAGTATCCATAATTGAACCATACATGAAGCCAACAAAACAAATTGCCTATACCAGTTTCCAGTAAAAAGGGACAACACATGGCTTTTTATGTAAGAAGTTGCAATATAACAATTTGGATGTCAAATTATATCACAAATTTTTGTATAAATCATCCTGATTACATAGTTTTGTTGACTTTAAAAAAGGTGCAGCAGTTCTTCTATTGAAATTTATTGAAATTTATGCATGCAGTCTTTTGAAATCAGAAACTATGATTGGCACTTATTGGCACTTATTGTGCTCTTCTATTGAAATTTATTGAAATTTATGCATGCAGTCTTTTGAAACCAGAAACTATGATTGGCACTTAAGTTATTGGCACTTATTGTGCTCCTTTATTGGCCAACCTGTTTTTATGTTCATATTAAACAATATGTATTCTAAAACTTCTGCATAAGAGGGAGAAAATACTTTCAATTCGAATTTCAGATATATTGATGACGTTTAATCAATTAGCAAGACCAGTTACCTTCATTCATATGTCCACTCCATATATATATCATAATAAAATCGAAATAAAAGATAAGAGATAGAATTCTCATCTGTTTCATATTTGACAAACGTGTTGACTTCAACATTTCTTATTTATACTGTAATACTATCACCTGAATATAGTGTTGACGTGTCCCGAGTTATTCGAAACTCAAGGGCATCCTCTGAGTAAGAATAATTTTTGAACCTTAACAGGCCACTGTTAAATAAGTTGATGTTACAGTTAAGCTATCTCATTGCATGTCAGCTTTTCGTTAATTCTATGGTCAATGTGATGACCTTGCTAGCAAATAAAACATATCATTGAATTGTGTTTTCTGACTGACATACATGTATTTCATAGCTATTGTTGCCTTTATACTTATACTAAATTAGACTAAGATGAAACTCTAAAAGTAACTGGTAATCTACATCAAATTAAATTTATGAAAGAAGAATTATAGCTTTCATCAGTTTGTTTAAAAGATACTCTCTGGATACCTTGAAAGAAAATAAAAAGGTTGCCAAACATTACATTGCCTAATTTATAAGTAAAACATTCCGTAGACCCCGGACAGCGATTCTGAAGATCACTTATCACGGCAATCAAAACAGAAACCTTGATAACATTTAGTTCTGTGAATCTTCATTAAACAGATATCAGGTTCGATAGTTCTGTACATCTATAAGAACCAACTGTCGTTGTCTTGTTTATGTGAAGATGAAGAGCCGTTTTACCTTTCTTCCTCGTGGAGATTAGCTAGTCTAAATTTACCTTCAAAGACATAAGAGTGGATTCCGGGGAACCTGCATTTTGATAATGGCTAATCTGATGATATATGTATCTTCACTTTCAATAAATTCCTGTACATCAAACAAAATTCTGTATTATTTTAAGAGGTAATGTTTTGAATGACCAGGAGTTTTACCAAATATGTTTCTTTCTTATTTTCCTTATCTGCCGTTCAATGGTTTCATAACATTTCAAAGCGGAATTGAATATGAAGTGGAGAGCATTATATAATATATATATAAAGTCCTTTTTATTTCGTTATTAATTCTTGGACTGAATTTCCTGATTATTGCTGAGAGGTTTTGAATCCGGGTAGTTTGTGACCTTTGAACTGAGATAGGACAATTCTTGTACGTCATCATTCCAAAATGGACGTCACGATATTCAACACTGCTCGTTTCACTTTATTTCTGATGCCCAAAACGTTTCTCCCTAAAAATTTTAACAAAACTAATGGTTAAAACTGTTTTAATTGCATGCGTAAATGTTTATAAATACGATTCTGACGTCGCAGTGTAGGTTTTACACATTAATTTTAGTTGTAACACGTCATTTGATTGGTTAAACGGTTTTATCCATTTTGTATAACATAACTTGCCTACGTCACAATGAGTTACGTCAAAAACATATTACTCCGCTTGACGTTAATTTTAAAATAACGCTCAATTTCAAACCTTTTTCCGGAGGAAATATTGTCTTATTGTCTACCCTGAAATTAAATTATAAGGAATGAAGCTTATTTCAACTTATGTTATCCGATATAACATAACTTGGGGCAGTTTACGCTTTTTATAAACCGCTTCGCGGTTTATAAAGCGTAAACTGCCCCAAGTTATGTTATATCGGATAATAAGTTGAAATAAACTTCATTCCTTAAATAATTGCAAGCCAACTGTTTTTACTGCACCAAATTAAAATTAAGATTCGTTAAACGTATGACAACGTTACACAAGCGTCACACATTTCTGTACTGGAGGTGTGTTTGCTAACATGTAATTGTTTTCATCAACACTTACTCTCTCTGTATAATTATGTTCCCCAAACGAAGTTGGGGAACATATTGTTTTTACTCTGTTTCTTATTAGGGCTTTTCGACTTTTGTCGAAAAGACCTATTGTTTTCGTCTTGTTTTATTATTATTATTATTATACTTAACACTTCTATCGTTCAGGATATGGGGAGTACCTTTAAAACTAGGTGTTTTATTTAATAACTACTTAATAGCAAATTTAAATCTCACGTGCGTGAAACAAGATCAACTTCCGGTATAGTCACTTCCGGTTTCTACCAACGGAAAACTGAAATTTCTAAAGAAGCCAAAAACATTTTCAATTTTAGTGTCTAGACTCCCAAATTTAAGATATGAATTCTAGAAACCTTATCCAATAAATAAGTGCGCGTACGTAACGTTTGACCACAGATACTTTTCAAGATATAAGACTTCAAACATTGAAGAAGGGGGGATGAAATTTTTGAAAGTCACAATTACGTTACAAAAATTATTTTGAGCATAAAAATATGTTAGAACTAATTAGTAGAACATATACTGTAAGTTTCATATCAATCAGAACAGAACTTCCGGTTTTATGGGTCTTGAAAGTTTTATTTAAAATTGAAATTCATCGTGCCACATTATCTCTTAAAATAATTAAGGTTTTCTTGTAATATTTTGAATATGAAATGACGCTGATGCTGTTGTGACATCATCAGATTAAAAAATTAAAATTTTGGAAAATAAGGGATTTCTAGGGGCCAACATTGAAAACGGACCTTTGCCTGTAACTTTTTTATTTCTCAATGAATTTTCAAATAGTTTTCAGATTTCACTTAAAGATTAAAAGGACACTCTAAAAAATATGGTCCGTGGGGTCACTTTTTGACCCCTTATAGGAGTTGTAGAGACCTGAAATATTGCATTTTTTAGTCTTTTAGAAGATATGTGTGCAAGATTTATCTCTCTTTGTCCATCTGTTTGTAACGTTATATGCTCTCTATGTTTTAATTGTGGTATG